AAACTGCTTCTGGTAAGTTATGAGAGTGGTTGCTGAGGGAGTGGATGAGTTCGATGTCGCGAGGAAGAATGTCAAGGCAGCCTTGATGCCTGTGTTCATCTGATAGAGAGTTGCCGTTGGTGTCATAATTACTGCTGGACTCGACAGCGGAAACGGCCATCGTCCTCAAATCGTCCGAGAACGACGGGCCGCCTCGACGACTGCTTGATCGAAGTGGCAGACTTTGGCCAGCCGAGACGTATGGAGTAAGTCATCAATAGGTTGTAAGCACGAGGCTTACAAATTAAAGACCTTGCGGGAAAGTCGAGCAATCCAGGGGCAGTCGATACGACTGCGACTTTCGACATGAGCACAATGTGGCTAGAGACTTCGAAGTCCGGCCTTGACGACCGCGTTCGCTGGCTTGTCCGTTTCTCAAACGCCCTCCAATCTTTTTCTACCACAATCACTTGCTTAAGACCGTAACCGTTTGCTCGCCGACATATCTTGCGCAGACGGCGCCGAGGCGCTTCTTGGTACTGGGGCCTGCCTTCTTTCAGATAGAGCTTCATCCCTTCCACCATAAGAGATGCAGCGACAACTCAGAGCGGACCAAGGTTGTTTAAGCCGTGGTACTCCGCAGACGTTGATTTATGATGTGGCTTACAGAGAAAATTGTATCAAGCTAAGTACACAACAAACAGTGAAACTGCCGGCGGTGTTCGAGTCTTATACAGCCGGGTTAGAACATTTCGACTTCAGTAATCTAGCTCCCAAAAAGACAATACATTGTCTCGGTGCTAAACAGGTCTTTCACCAATGACATAAGACCCGCTGGATGGTTTATCTGATCAGAGTATTCTGTCAGCTTATCACTTGTCGTGTTTAGTTAAGTGCGTGCACGAGTACTACACGAAGTAGAGATCCATAATGGTAAATTGAATGAGCAAACTCAGACTGAGTCTATCATATCTCGGTGACGGCATCAAAGATAGCCTGTGTCAACAATAATCATTTCCTCATTTAGTCATGTTCTTCAGCCTGTAGAGTGCCTGGCCTCCCTTTGTCTCCGCAGACTTTTACGTCAAGCTTGCATGGGTCACGTTCACGTCATCTTCGTAAGGGTCATCATTGCTGTCATGACACGTCCGTAACTTTAAACAGCCCTAAGCTGTCAAAGAGATGGTCGAAAAATCACTGGAGCATCGACAGCCGAGCCGCTACAGCCGAGAAGTCCGCTAGCCATCAAACAAAATTCATTTTGATAACTCCAAAGCCAAATATCAACTTTCTATCTATCAACTGATCGTTGTAACAGCGAATCTGGCCTGTGAAACCTGGTGGTATCGACGCTTGAGCAGTCTTAAGTCCATAAAAAAAAGCATTGGGTTGTGATCAAGGAGCAACAAAGAATCATTGACAGAATAAACCCTACAGCGTGATCTGGCAACACAACCGCGTGCAAATCCATGAATTAAGGTCAATGGGTAGTCCTAGGTCGCCTCGTCAGTTGAGTCAAAGTTCAGAACCTGCCTCACTATGACTCGGGAATCCCCGCTACAGCGTGAAGAATTAGATATAATTTCCTTTCACCCGGCTGGATATTAGTGCTGACATCATTCATTTGTTACATTCAACGGGTGGTTAGGTATGGATTGATGCAAGTAATGCTGTTATTGCGATTGTCCTCAGGCTCGCTCACGGGGTCAGAACATGAGCGCCATTGTATGACACAGAGGGACGATGTAACGAACTCCCTCACTCAACTAGCAATGACTAAGTTATAAGAATGATGGTCATCTAGGGCACTGCCGGCTCAGAAAGCAAGATGGATAATCGTTCAAGCTATGCTAACCATGTGTCTCGTTATAAGTCCGGCATGTTTGGCGCTAAACGCGTAAGGAAATGCTTCAATGATAACATCAGACATATCAGCAAGCCAGACATACGTCGGTTAGCTCGTCGTGGTGGTGTCAAGCGTATCAGTTATGGTTTGTGATAAGCTTGCTATTATACCATCAAGGATGACACTGACTGGTATTCGGAGATGTCTACGATGAAGCTCGCGTCGCGATGAAGTTGTTCCTAGAGAATATCATTCGCAGTGCAGTCATGTATTGCGATCATGCAAACCGCCGAACGATCACCTCGCTAGATGTTGTTCATGCGGTGAAACTGCACAAGAGGGCAATATATGGGTACGGCCATTAATTCGACCAGGGGCGGCCTAAGAGTTGTCATATCTGTAAGGGTGGAAGTGAGAATAACAGCAGCGTCACTTGCGGCGAACACACATCTTACGATGTGAAATATTCCCAAGACGACGAAACTGTCGCGATATCAAGTATGTGTGATTAGGCAATGTGAGCTTGCTTGTATCATCTCTGCCTTAGTAGACCGAATCTTGCACAGGCCCTAGCCAGTCCTGCTGCCCTTCCGCTATATGGAAATCCCGTTCCGTCCGTAATTGATTAGAGTAGGAATCTCCCTCCTCTTCGTGATGCGAAGTGTTCAGGTTCAGCTAAGCCAGGATACACCAAGGCGAGCTGGTGGGCAACTCCATGTCAAGAAACATACAGGCGTATAGCGTTCGGAGATGGCTGAAGCATTATCATCAGCAAGCTCGTTTCTTGGAGCGATTTTGTGGCCATCATATCGAAAAGTGCATGACAGGACAGCCGTTCGCTTTCTATCGAAAGAAAACCGACTGAGCAGCATTTTGCGGACATGCAACGAAAGAAAACGAGACATACCCTCCTGCTTTCAAGAACTACGCGGAGGCCCGTGAGTGAGAGAAAGCTCATGTCGTCCAATTTTATCGCGATCTGACCCCTCCTTCCATGCAGAGTTTGCGTTGCATTGAAGGGACACATAAAAAGCTTACTTCTTTTCACGAGAACGCGCAAATTGGCAAGTGTGCATGTGCGGGCCCGTTTGGGATTGCAACGCGAGTCATTTTCGCCTGGGGTCGACGAATTGAGGCTCTTGGTGCCCTACAAAGGTGCCGCTGGACGATGCACAGGTCGGGTGCCGAGCGATTGACGTTGGCAACACACGATCTAACTGGCTGTTGACAAACGGACAGCATGGACATGATCCGATTCGCTGATTACGGGATGGGGGTCGTCTGGCCTACCGAAAGGTCCTCACGTGGCCGGTCTGGTATTGGTCTTATTTCTAGATCTCACTGTGGTCTGTGCTTGGACGTGGAATTTGCCTGGTACATAGAAGGGTATCGGACCTTATTGAGGACGGTAACGAAAGTGAACAGTTCAGCCACCTGTGGAACGAAAAACATCCACCATCCACCACCTCGCGTAAAGCTTGAAGGATCTGATTACATATCATTCGATCTGAGGTAGCCTGTAAGAATGCCTTGGTGGATCACTCTGGCCGTAGTCATGTCAGATTGCGTGAAGCCAAAATTGTCAACACAGTGTTATGGCGGGAGTGGGATGTCTTGGCCTGTTAACGGGGTTATTATCTGATCGCTAACTATCCTGGACACACGCTTAGCAACCAAAGAATACTTACTCTCTCGATCAGATTGGCTTTCGGCAAGCATCTCGCCATGCGCCTCGCATCTGTTTTGCTGCGCAGACGTGCACATCTGCGTAACGGTATCATCCGGTACGTCTTTTGAATAACCGCTGAAGCATTTGCTGCACGCTTTCGGCCCTGGGTCGGGAATCAGTGGGCACAGTGCTCCTTTCAGTACTGCGGGGCCTGCTTTCCGGTCGCACAACGTTCCCGGCGCCTCCGCGTCCTACGTGATACGGCCGGAAACGGTCTTTCGGAGGGGTTGAGTTTTCCATTTCAAGAGAGGGTGGACGATCACGTGTTTAGTGTACTCGATGTCGTGATACGTAGAAAGGGAAAGACGGAAAAACGTGGGAGGACAAGAGTCACTGATTCGTCTTTTTAACTCTCACCACTGGGAGTGATTGTTTTCTAGGTCACAATATGGATTCACGCGTTTCCATGCTGTCATGTTCCCGTGCTGTTATGTTTACATGCGAACAACCCACAGTAATAATTGTAACATCACGGAGGGGAAACGGGCAGGCGTTGACAACAGCTGTGTTATTAGCAGTTGGGACTATTGTAACTGAATCAGTGGAGGCCCATCAAATTCTTACCCACAGCTTGGGCACATTCTTAACTCCGTGTCGAAGAAGTGGCCATGCCGATCCTCCCTACGCTAAGGATCATGCGGAAGGATTTCGAAAGGGCCATGCGGCTGTTCCGTGAACTTTTCTGCCTGCCTGGCACTTTGTCCAGCTTCTTCGCACGTTACTTGCTCGACTAGCTGAAAAGCATAACGGCAACGCGTATCGCTACGTTCCGATGCCATAGCAGCTCCTCCCTCGTCGGAATTCGTTCGTATTGATCGCTAATCACAGTTCATCTTAAATCCCTCTCAGATGAAAGATAGTGAATATCTCAATATCGTTACCTAAAAAACGTGAGCTGCTGACATAACTCCTCCCGTTTCCATATCTCTCACTCAGATGAGAGGATGAATCTCATAGACGCAAACTAAGACGGCAGGGCGCGTGACAGACTGACTTTGCGTAACGTTAGCTAGACTAGTAAAGAAACAAAAGTCAACTTGCAGGTAGAGAAGCTGTATACGATTGCACAGTGCGAAGCCAGACCGTCCGCAATATCGAATCATTAGCCATATGGAAGTCTCTCGCCCCGTTAGCATAACTATCCCGCGACGGTTACGTCCAACAGGAGTTGGCCTCTTTGTGGTCTACCTAGATTGACCGCCGATGGATTGCGACAGGACGTAACATAACCTTGCGTAACATGACCTTGCGCAACATAACCTTGCCACGCTAGCTATGCTTAGTTTAGAGAATATCGATTCATCACTGGTACTGGAATGCCCACGAGCTGGCTCCCGTTGTTTCTCCGTAACCAGGTTAACAATCCGGGTCCCGAACCTGATTCGGCTTGCGGCTGACAATTACGTAGAATCAGCCAGGGAACTGCGCCAGCTAGCTACTCCGCTGCGATTCGTGACTCGAGTCTCTATTCGAGAGTAATCACACG